CACCGCCCCTGGTCTGTGGAAAGATTGTCTTTCATGAAGCTGGTCCCTGATACCAAAAAGGTTAGGGACAGTTGCATTAACAGATATGTGATTTGCAAATATTTTCTCCCTTTCTGTGAGTTGCTTTTTTATTCTGTTTTATAATGTCCTTTTATTTTTAATTTTTACTTATTTATGTTTTTTGAGTGGGAGTCTCACTCTTTCACCCAGGCTGGAGTGCAGTGGCAGGATCACAGCTACCACAGACTCAACCTGCTGGGCTCAGGGGATCCTTCTGCCACAGCATCCTGAGTAGCTGGAATTACAGGCGTGTGCTACCACACCCAGCTACTTTTTTTTTTTGATAGTGTCCTTTTATGCAGAACGTTTTTAATATTTAAGAAGTCAAATTTGGCCAGGCTCAGTGGCTCAGCCTGTAATCCCACCACTTTGGAAGGCCAAGGCAAGTGGATTGCCTGAGCCTGTGGATTTGAGACCAGCCTGGGCAACTTGGCAAGATCTTGTCTCTACAGTAAAAAAAATCAAAAATCAGCCAGGCATAGTAGCACGTGCCTGTAGTTCTGGCTACTTGGAAGGCTGAGATGGAAGGATCGCTGGAGCCCAGAAGGTCAACACTGGATTGGCCGTGAGGTGCCACTGCACTCCAGCCTGGGCGACAGAGAGACTCTAACTCAAAAAATAAATAACTAAAATGACAACTAAACTAAAATACTTGAAAACACTGCGCTGGGCCGGGCGTGGTGGCTCACACCTATAATCCAGCACTTTGGGAGGCAGAAGCAGGAGAAATGCCTGAGCTCAGAGGTTCAAGACCAGCCTGGCCAACTTGGTGAGAATTCGTCTCTCCAATAAATGAAAAAAATTAGCCAGACTTGGTGGTGCACGCCTGTGGATTCAGATGCTTGGAAGGATCACCTGAGCCCAGTAGGTCGGAGCTGCGGTGGCAGTGAGCGTTCTACTGCACTCCAGCCTCAGCAACAGAACGAGACTCTGACTCAACACCCCTCCACAAACACAATCCCAAAAAAGCACCGTGCTGGTTAAACAAAGCACGTGCAGGCTGGATTTTTTGGAGCTGGAGTCTCACTCTGTCACCCAGGCTGGATTGTAGTGACACGCTCCCAGCCATGGCAGCCTTGACCTGCAGGGCTCAGGGGATCCTCCTGCCTCAGTCTTCCAAGTAGCTGGAACCACGCTCAGCTAATTCTTTTTTATTTATTGTAGAGATGAGGTCTCATCAAGTTACCCAGGCTGATCTCAAATCTGTGAACTCAGGCAATCCTCTCTCGGAAAGGCCACCAATTCACTAAAGAGCAATTTTCCAAATAAGGAGGAGGGAGGGAGGGGGAGAGAGAGAGAGAAACAGTTTATAGTTTTGTGTTCCAAGCATTGTATCAGGTAATGACAATAAACTGGTCAAAAAGGTTACAAGTTTAAAGTCCTAGTGTCAAGGAGTCTGAAGCTGGGGTAAGAAGACTTGTGAAAAGAACATTTCAGCCGGGCTCGGTGGCTCAGCCTGTAATCCCGTGCCTTGGGAGGCTGAGGTGAGTAGATTGCCTGAGCCCACGGGTTTGAGACCCACCTGGG